CACACACACACACACACACACACACACACACACACACACACACACACTGCCCTTGCTCTGATGATCGCCTGAAGCAGAGCTCCCTTTTTAGAGCTGACTTCAAAAAAAGGGGGGGGGGAATTGTTGGAAGATGCATTGAAGAGGAAGTTAAATAATAACATCAGTCACATCCGCTGAGTGTCATTAACACATGGTTCAGTGTCTCTGTGGAGAGGAACAGGCAGCAGGACAGAGGCTGAGACGCTCACGTACACACATATTATCAGCTCCCGGCCTCCGTCTGACTGAACTGTAAACGCAGGCTTATGGTTCAGTATGAGGCTAGACTGCTTGGTCCTCCTGTATGGAGTTACAGGCTTTCAAGTCTCTCTGAGGAAGTGGCTTCTTCTGGAATGTGTTTGCTACGAGGAGTCTGAAGGGACACTTTAACTGAACTTTAAGCCAGAGTTTCTCTTCAGCTGAGGAACCCTTACAAGACAGAGGATATACCGGGGACCAGCTCATATGCGGGGGTGAGGTGCATGCTCCAGTGCATCAGCTGCCATCAAGTTGGCACCAAGGTATTCCTCCTTCAACCCTTCTGCAGAACCACCAACCCCACAGTCCTGCCTCCACTCCCAGCTCATGGAGGCCAAGGTCTACTCAGAACTTCAGTGTTAGCCAACGTTAGCTTGCTGATACAAAAGAGGTCATTTAAGAGGAACATGGTCGACACATCTGACCTCACACTTGGAGACATTTTAAATAAAGAGGTTACAGATGCTGCATGCCAGTAAAGCATCATCATCATCATCTTCATCTCCACCTCCAGTGTGACTAGTGAGAGAATTAATCCCAAAAGAAGACCGCAGTCAGATAAACAGAATGGGGAGAAAGGGCAGCCAGAAGACATTTCTGAATGGTCGATGGTGTGTTGTCGAATCATTTTAAAAGAGGAGTGTCTCTTTGTCCCCGACACTCATCTCTTCAAGTCCAATCTTTTGCTGGCCAAGCGTGACAGGAGATTCTGATGAGCCGTTCCCACAATGAAGGACGACACCTTCATACACGAACGGACGTTTTCAGACTGTCAAGCTGTCCGGAGGATGTGAGACGCGGCTCCATGAGGGACGGATTAGTGGAGGAAAAAGACAAACGGGTGTGACGACAAGAAGAGACCTGCAGACCGACAGAACAGCAGGGAGGCATACGAGTGTGTGTGTAGAAACACTTTGACACAATAACCTCCCATCAGAAACGACGTGTAGACACACTTGCACCTACCAAGACGGAGGACGGAGGGGACACATGGGGGGTTTCTGTGTCTGTGCATGTGACAAAGAGACACAAAGATGGAATCAGGACAGATCGCATTGGAGGGGACGGGATATGAAGAACTAATTAGAGGCAGCATGCGTCTGCACTGACAATCCCAATGATTATGGAAAGGTTGCAGACTGATGCACGCACAAACCAGAGGACGGAGCGACGCCTCGTCAACGTGACTTGACTTGACAGAGTGGGCGTGACAACAGCGGGGAGAAGCTTCCTGCATGTGTCTCTCTCTCCCTCTATCTCTCTCACGCACACATACAATATTAGCATTGCTATTCAGTACGACAGTACGATTCAGTTGTTGAGTTGATTGTTCAGGGTAATGAGATGCGAGACTCCACAGCGTCTCCCCACAGAGGTAAATACGCCCCACGTGCGATCACCGATAGCCAGACATAAGCCCCGCCCACCTCTCAAAACGCACACACACGTGCACGCCTGCCCGCATTCTGCTGCTTGCTTGAGCATGTGTTTGATTGCAAACTGTTATGTTTTGTTTTGCATTCTCCATTGTGGCATTCTTTAACATCACATATGTGCATGCCACTTGTTATCACTCAACAGGCAGATGTCAGAGAAAGTTGGGCAGTCGTTCAATTCTCCGGTTGAGTCGACACGACACGCGCCCATCAATCAACGCTGATCGATCACTCACTCGTCTGACACTTACTGTAAAGTTGTGGCAACCAAAAGGAATTTAGATACATATTTAGAAAAGTGTGACTTTGCCCTATTTAATTATGTAATTTAACACGTGCATGCGTTGTGATGATAGAGATACTGCTAAGCTTTAGTGAAAATGTGAAAAGAAAACACACACATTTGGCCGTGATTCTGCTCTCCAGACTCTGACATGACTGTGATTTCTAATTCGGGATAAACTGAATTTATCATCTCCGGCACCACAGATGGTCTGGCTGAACCACCGACGTCTGAGCGTTGGTGACATGTTTTGATGTAGTAGGCAGCGGCTCTTCACTGATTAACACGTTTAAGTGTATGTCCTTCCGCTTCCTCGCTGGGTGAGGGGAAAAGCTTTGTGGATTAAAAAACAGATGCTTTCTTTGGACATTGCTTCAGCAAAACTGTGAGCCAAAATGGCAACTGAATATAATATAGCCTAAGCATCTAAACGTGGATTTTTTTTTTTTCTGGCTGAAACTTATTTTACTTCCATATGTATTGAATTTATTAAGCAAGTAAGTTTAAGTAAATAAAACAGCAAATTAACAAAAACTGTGGAGATTTCCCTGATTTTCAGCCCTCACAAAGTGTATAAATTAATTCTTATTCATGTCCCCTGGAGGTGGAGCGGGGACAAGTCCACACAACTCTGTTTATTCAAATAAAAACCTTGACTCTGGCATTGTTTCCATGATTACTGGTCTCTGCCAACACCTCATATTACACATCCAACTACGCAGATAAGATGACAAAGCGAGTCCAGGCATGTCGTGGAATTCATGCTGAGACTGCGAGATGATGCAGAGATTTTAATTATAAAAACAACAACATCTGAACATTTTCACAGATCATCCCCGTTACCGCATCGGGCCATCACAACTCATGTGAATGAAGCCACTGATGATTGTAAATCCGTGGTAATAGGATTATGTGGTTATAGCCCACAACTGGCCGCCCTGTTGCACCTGTTCAACTAACATCCTCTCTAGCATTATCAAAACCCAATACAAGACACATAATGTAATTGGCGTGGGACGCATTAACGGCATGTGCGTTTGGGTCTGGTGATGGGGGGGCAAGGCGAGGGTGCAGTTAATCTCATTAAAAACAGTCGCGCACAGCCAGACAGTCTGTGGGTTTTTTAAAAAAAACAGCCTTGAACCCCTGAGGAAACTTAAAACGCCGGCGGATTAAAAGGAGGACGCCAGCGCGGATAAAATCAGCCTCCCTCCTGGGTGAGAGAAGAAAACACGCGCGCTGAACCAGCTGGCACAAGGAGCCCCTTCAAAAGACACTCCAATACGCACTCCATGCTTTTCACAGACCTCATTTTCGGGACAGGATTCTGCAGTGTGTTCACTTTATTGTTTCCCTAATAGAACAAGGAAGGTTGCAAGACAGGATTTCCTCAGGAAAATGTAGAGAAGGTGGTAAGAAGCCCAGATATTGACCCATTTATTTTGTAGAGGCGATAAGCATCCGGTGTGAGTCAGCTGCCGTGAGCGAGGACGAGGAGAGGACAGAGTGAAGGAAAGAGGTGTTTGTGTGAGACAGAGACAGGTTGGCCGTGTGACTTCAGGCGGTGCAGAGGGAGCTCCCGTCGGGCCGCGGCTGAAGGTCACGTGGGAATGTTTCTTTCCACAGAGTCGAGCTGCTGGCGGCTACAAATCTCCTAACTCCAAATTTCGGTGGTTGTTTATTTTTGGGCTCAGTCACCATATAGCTGCTCTTCATCTGAGGTTGTTCCTCTGCAAACCATGGACGCCGGTTAAAACCCTCCAGTGGATAACATCTAAGGTGAGCTGATTAGGATTCAGCAACATGACGATGTGTGAGATGATACGAATGTCTCAATGTCAGATATTCTGCCACCACTGTGTCCTGTGGTTTAGTATCTGTGGGTGTATTAGCTCATTACGGGTGGTGTTGTTAACCAATGAGCAGGACTGTTCTACAACACATGTTTTACAAAAATGTGTTAATTTTCAGACATTCAAGTTCAATTTAGCTGACATTCTGTTATTTCAGATACAGTTATTTTGAATAATATTTGCAATTAACTATTATTTTCATTATATATTACTCCCAAGATGAACTTCTCAATGATTTATTTTTAAAAAATCTATAAAATGTCAGCCAATTTTATCGTTTGTTAAAAAGTGACTAATTTTCCTCACTACTGTGAGCTCTCTGCTATGCTATCTAGTAACGGTACAATGGCCAACACAATCCACATACACTGCTGCTGTATCACACTCCACACGTTCCCCATCAGACACTGTATCCATCCTATCCTCTCCTATGGATCATCTTCTTACAGTTGCCAAGACAGCTGGCATTTTCAAGATGAGAGCTTTTCACCCGGCAGCAACACAGATGTCAAGTTACAGTAGACTCCGGGCTGCAAAGGAAGACCTGCCCCCCTTTCCTCTCTCTGTCACACACACACACACACACACACACATATCAAAGGCTACAGCATAATAGACCCCTGCATCATTCATGAGTCTCGCCTGTCTTTACAGTGCGTTCAGTCTACATGTGACTGGAAAACATATAATACATCTCTCTCTCTCCCTTTCGATGCCAGCTGCACAGCTACTGACTGTGCAGCTCCTGCAGAAGAGGAGGCACGTGTTCATCCATCTGACTAAAGCTACATTCACACCACAAAAGGATGCTGAGACACACACACACACACACACACACACACACACACACACACAGATAGAGGAGAGAGCTCCATACTGCACATTATACAGTATATCAGCTGGTCATTAGACAGCTCTATGCCTGCTCAGGAGATGCAGGCGTGCATATCCGGGGCAGAACACACTTGTAGTAGATTTTGGGAATGGCGCACAGATAACACAGAACTGTAGTTAAGGCTACTGTGATACCTTTGGAGGTAAAAAAAAAACATCATATTGCACAAGTCAGTCATTAGCATTGTACCATTCAGTCTCTACGGGATAGAGTATGGATAGATAGATAAATAATCCCTTTAGTGAGAGGAGAGAAAATCACCCTTTCAAAATAAATCATGGTGATATATTCTGTAGGGTTGCACGTGCCCTTCCCATACAGCTGCTACCAGCCCTTCTTCTTTAATGTTCCTGTACGTATAAGGAACATTAAACGATGGCTAACACCATCAAATATCATAACACAACTTTAAATGTAACCGAAGTGAATCATGTATAAAGTGTTCAACGTTAGTACTGACTACCACATACACATACCATAAAGACAAAGTACTAAAATGGTATTTTTGGGGGTTGTTGTGAGTAACTGTTATTGGGGGGTTAAAGTGTCCTGACTGGACTCACCGTGTCCGAGTGCAGGTCCTGCTGTTGGCACAGCCGGTACAGGAACGAAGTTTGCTCTTTGAGGAGGGTCTGCCGCGTTGTGAGGAACACCGTGCCACCGACGTTCAGCCGGACCCACTTCCCGTTATTCCCCCCGTTGGGATTGATGACCGAGCCGTTACTGATGCTCTGCGACGCCTGCCCGCCTGGTTCAGACGCGCTGGCGGTGGCGCTGGTGGACGTCGCGCTCTCTCCCGCCTCGCTGTCTTTGTTGTTGTTGTTGTTATTGTTGTTGTTGTTGTTGTTGCCGTTGAGGCGGCAGCCCGGGCGCGTCGACAGCGCGGCGACGTCCTCCGGTTCCCGCTGGTCGTCCGCTGTCGTTGCCATTTGGAAACCGTGCCGCTAGACACGAGAAGAAGACGAGCGAGGGCGTCCGTCCGTGTCCGCTGTTGCCTCGGCTCTCTCACTCCGTTTCCAGCCGAGCACGCTCCGCCCCGAAACGCCGCACAAACTCAAAAATCAGCCGCGTGAAGGTACAGGAAGTGAGGCATAGTACATCCGAGAAATACTTTCAAAATAAGAGCTCTACCCAGTTAACTAAGAATAGAAAGTATGTATTAAAAAAATCGAGGTAATCTAAGTATCTTTCGATATTAAAGCAGGTGGTACCTTTGTATGTGGGGTGCAGTAATCTTACCTCTCATAGCAATATAACTTAAAATAATGTATCATAGTATAATAGTTGATGTATCAAGTGCACAAATACTGTCACAAATGACATATTTCTGTTTGATAATATTTACAGTTATTTAGGCTGGTTTAATAGTTTAAATGTTTACCAGACTTAGTTGACAGCCTCCTTTTGTAGAAATGAGCATGCAGTGTAGTCATCCAAAGTAACAAATTAAATGTATATTTCTGAAGTAATGGATGAGAACCTGATTTGTCATACAATCACATGTTGTATAAGTATGCTTCAATAAGTATTAAATATCCAAGTTATGAGTTTGATTCTGTGAATGTGAAATATTATTTGTAACGTTTTATTCTGAAAGTTGCTTGATTTTCGGTTGTAGTCTAGTTCTTTCTGGCAATTTGACAAAGACCAAAACATTGCGTCTTGTAGTTTTTGTGTACTTATTCAGAATATTAAATAAAGAGGAATACATACCTCAGTTTACAATACATGAAATCCTCACTACCAATAATATTAAGTAAGATCATTTTATTTCCACACTCTATAAACCTGAGGAAATATTGCAACAAGACAAATACATTAGTATTCATTTTTAAAAAGTAAAAGCATTCCCCTGAAGGCTAAAATTCCAAATTTTGAGGAACACACTTTCCTCCTTGAGGAACACATTAGCAGGAACACTGCTAATAAATTAATAATTCTCATGTTAATTCAGCGTACAGACTCATAATGCTAACACTCTTGGATGGATACTGACAAATGAGAGCAGCAGTGATTCCAACAGGATCATCTTTCTGTGTCTACTGGCTGGTGTTCAGTTGAAACAAGCAAATACATTTCAAAATGCAATTTAGGATGAATGAATTAGTAAATAGTTTGATCAAGCCCCAGGCTGGCATCAATCAGCTATATAAATAAATGACTGTAAAATTCCAGTCACATTCATATTTGACGATGGGAAATTAAGTCATTCAGATTGTCCCGTGTCTTAATCTTTTTTTAGTGTGAAAATTTTAAACTGTACTTATATTTCAATTATATTTTTGACCAAATTAGAGGGACATTTTTATCATAATTTCCAGCTTTTACATTTTGCCCAGTCGGGTTACAAACATTTATACCTGATTTGAACAGGAAAGCGCGACTTATTCTTCCTGGATTGGTCATATCTGCTGCCTCTGTGCTCTCACGGCCGATGCAGTGTGGGCCTCATAGTGACGAAGGGAAAGTTGTAGGTGTGCGGAAGACCCTGATGAGTCGTGAGGTTGAACGATTGCCATGAGAACGGACGCAGGCCTCCCTGTGTCGTGGGGCCGTTTATTGCCTCCGCGGCCAGCTGGACAGCCATCTGGTAGTCCGTCACCTGTACAGTGAGATAGATAAGGGTAAGAAAGGGCAGAGAGGAAGGAGTGAGTATAAAGTGAGGCCATTTAATAAGGTTCAAATATCAAATAGTTTACTCATTCAAAAACTGCACTTCACTTATTATATTTTAGGTTCAACCAATGGCTTCTATGACATTTGAAAAATGCTGACCAAATAAAATTTGACCTTTCTGTAGCTAGAAATTCAAAGGATTCATTTTTTTCCAGCCTCTGGAGAAAAGCTCCAGACTAACACAGTTATTTGCATGTTAACAGCTGTTTCATGCAGGAAACATATCCTGAACTCTGGATATTTGTTTGAAAAATATTTATACTTTATACATTATTTAACAAAACAGGTAAATAAAATAAAATATCATTGCAGGTTTTACAAACGTTTTAGGAAGTTGAGAACAGAGAAGACCCGTGTGACAGTGATGCCAATAACCAATAATGGCAAATTGACAAAAGACCACATTATTTCGACACAAAAACAGATAAATGCACCTTTAAACAATTCATCATGTTTTGTAACAGCACTTTTTTATCCCAGATCATATCTCAAACTTGATGCTGGCACTAATGTGCTGATGACCTCTGACCTTAGTGTCATAGCAACCTCCTGGCCGTGGTCTCCTTGGTCTCAGGTCGTTTCGGCAACAGATGGTTTTACATGGATGGCCCTTGGAGTAGGGGTCTCTCTTGAAGTCTGCAACAGAACCAGTCTGACGTTTTAGTACACAGTCTGAAAATAGCATGAATTACTTGTGTGTTTTGTGTTAGGTTATAGTTATTCGTTATTGTTGCACCTACTGTTGTATCTCATGATGTGTTTGAGGGAGTGCAGGTCTGACACCTTGGCCTGGTCCCTGCGGAGGATTTTGGCTCGGGGACAGAGGTCGTATGAGAAGTCCTCTCCGTATCTCTTCCACATCACACTGTACCCACTCAGGTTGTAGATTTCAACATGAAACGGTACGTTGTAGGATGGCCAATAACCTGACAAAAGTATAGCACAGTGGAGGTGGAGGTCGTCCAGACACATTACCACCTGAAACAGCCCTCCTGGATAAAAAACAACAACTATATAGATAGATGTTTGTTTCTTACCTCTGCGTAAAGCTGGAGTCTGATCAGAGTGCATCACCTTCCCGGGAATCTGCTCCACCACAGTCAGAGCTCCATCCCTGATACTGTGACCCAGAGAAACCCTGTTCAGGTCCACCAGCATGTACTGGCTGTTATACGTACCTACAATACAGAGGGGGACATGCTCTGTTTGCTGCCGAACAGAAGCTGTGTCTGCGAATTTTTGACACAACAAGACTTAGAGTCTACAGCCACACTAGCAGCTCTGTGTGGCTGTGCTTTGAGCTAAAAGGCTATGTCAAGTATTGGACACATTTAAAGAAATTTGACCGACTGATGGTGCTAGATGAAAAGTCAGAGGATCACCAAAATCAGAAGCCTTCATCCTCTGGGGGCCGTGAATGTCTGTACATGTTTTGCCAATCTATCCAGTAGAGATATTTCCCAGGTCAAGCAAACATTTTAACCTACTGGTGGTGCTAGAGGAAAGGTCAGAGAATCACCAAAGTCATCGGGATTCATCCTCATGGGACCATGAATGTATAAAATTTCACTCTGATCCATTAAATAATGATTGAGATATTTTCATTCTGTACCAAAGTGATGGACCGACTTTGACATAGAGCCGGGCTGCTGTGGCCTGGCTAAAACAAAATCCTGAAGCTTGCTGCGAAACAGGCGTGCCAAACACAAGGATCTTCCAAATATCTGATGCCAACACACCCTTGAACAAAAGAAACTTAGACTGTCTCTCTGCAAGTACATTAATACTGTATTGACATAAACTCCTGGCTTTCTAGAAGGAAGGAAATCAATTTAAGAACTACCATAACCTTTGAAAAGTTTGCATTAATATAAAACATACATGGTTTGGGCAGTGTGGCGGCTAAAGACCTATAACAGAACGTCTCATCATCGTCTAGTTGCGTTGCTGCTCGTATACGACTGGCACAGGAAAGATAACATTCACAGTCTCGCATGCGCCTGATAAGGAGAGAAAAAACACGGTGAACTTCTGGCTCCCCTATCTCCATGAAATAAAAAAAAACACCCAAAGGTCGGTAAAGGCTCTCCTGTTTTCTTCCTGCAGGCCACCACGACCGTTCAGCAGGACGGGGAGTAGGAGAGCGGAAGATGACGGGCAACGAGGGGACTGTCAGTCTCAAGAACACTCTGTCCTGTTCTCCTCTGCCCTCCCATAGCAACATGACGTGAAAGATCAAAGCAGCTGCCCAATTAACACAAGTGCTGTGTAATTAGAGGGATGGTTTGTTTGAGAGTCTGTTAAATCTCTATGGAAATTTGTCCTGTGGATTTTGAGTCAGGCAGTTAGTTCCAGACTAAAGTAATCATTCATTCCTCTCTGCAAGTCTTGCTTTCCTCGTGTCTGCTCTCATTTCAGACTTTTCCTCTAGCGCACCATGAGGTTGGCATGTGGTCTCAAGTGAAATGGTTCTCACTATTATATAAACAACCATGAACCCTTTTGTTTATTTAAATCACACGTGTGGAAGTCTTTCATGCATTATTATGCATGGTATAGGCCACCGTCAGCTGGCCCCGAGTCATGGTCCTGCTGTAGTTTATCAGTCATTTCTTTCATTTTGAGACATTATTCATATTTCACCTGAGTTGTATCTGGAGAAGATGTGCGCCCACTCCTCTCCGCTGTCCGCCAGGCTGTTAGCCAGGCGGACTCTGTGCCAGGCCAGCAGGCTGTGAGGGCTGAGCTGGGAGAGCAGAGAGACGTTGAAGACGCCGATGGAGGTCTGAGTCATCAGCAGGCCGCTTCCAAGCAGGTAGAAGTCGTCCAGGGACATCAGGAAGCCTGGAGGAAGTGGTGGGGAGGACGTTTTAGGACAAACATTAGAGAGGGAATGCTTGAGATCATGTCATATCCTCAACTACCTGCAGCTTGCATGTACAGTAGACCTTAAACAAAGTTTGGTTTGGAACTAGCTGTATATTTACTTTACTGTTAAGATTACGACATCAAGGAGGAAGAAATACTTTTACTTCTTTTATATTCCACTGCTATTGCTACTACCTCTATCCTCTTTAATCTGCCACTGCTTTTATTAATAATGAATATAGAAATACGACTGCTGCTATCAATAATGTAAATCATAGGCAGACGGGTATGCCCGCCACCCCCGCGTCCACTTCTACATAAAGTAATTGGTATCTGACCTGCTGCGTGCGCTAAATGTGTCACATTGTCAGAGAGAAGGCAGCTTAAGAAGGCAGCAGGGGGGTGTTTCATCTCTTCATTTCAATACAGTGAAGTGATATCTTTGGCCTAACGGCCTCTGGAAATAGTGCAGTAAAACCACTTGTGTTCTGATAGCAAAGGAGCCTTTAAGAGGATTCTTTTATGGCCTGGACCTCTCGGCAATTCTTTGCCCAGAAAAATGACCCGGCATGCGAGGGAACTCATTTCGTCACGGCTCAGTTTTGTACACTGCGCTGGATGTTTCCCCGTTCACAGACTAAGCTCTGTGCTTAGCAGACAAATTACTTTCGGTAGAGAATGCACATTGAGGATTTGGGTTAAGTCCTTGATGTCGGTGTTTATATTTTCCAAGATGAAAATGAAACCGTGCGGATTAAGGACAAGCATGTTCACCTCAGCTCAGGGCGTTAACTCTACTGTTTAAAATTCAGGTAATATGCTCAGAAAACACTGTTTCGTCTATAAGCTGTGCATCTCACTTTTTCCAAATTACCCAATGCCATGTCTGATGATCTACTTTAAATAATTGTAACAGTCTTGTGCAGCTCTTATGTGTGATGTAAGTGTGAGTGTGGGTACCAGGGTAGCTGCTGAACGACATCTTTCCAGTGGCCGTGTGTGTGTCAGACACCCTGAAGTCCCAGTGTTTATAGATACGCATGGTGGCCGCATACGTATACCAGCTAGAGTGGCCAAACAGCAGGTTCTCATAGCCTGGCAGCACCTTGGACGCAGAGGAGGGAGAGAATGGGTTGTGGTGAAGAAGTGCCTGACGCTGGCAGGAGTGAAACAACGGACTGGTTAGGGCATGTGTGCTATTTTCACTGAATCACTCTTGAATTGTTGTGATTGTAATCTGGTGACGTGACCCCTAAACTTTTCATCTCGTACAAAATGTTATTCCTCCAAACCTGCAGAACTAATGACAATCCCATCAGCTGTAATTTGTGTTTAGTGCTAATTAGAAAATGTTCCTGTAATCAAACCAGATAAGAAGAAATAAAATCTTATTAATTAAAGCCTAATGATGTAGGATATTTAGATTGCACATTACCCAAGTGTCCTCATTCTATTTGCACTTTGTTTTGCCTAAATGATTATAGGCCTTCCGCACTTAAAAAGAGGTAATTACCAATGCACAAGCGCCCACAATAAAACTAATTAGGCGCTGAGGCCTACCAAGTGCTCCCTCACAGCTTGAGCCAAATGAGCTTGGCCTAACCTTGATGAGAGCAGTGCAGTGGCCCATTCCTGGCATCCTGAAAGCACCGGTCCCTGTGGAGGAGTTGGAGCGAGGCGTCAGAGCTGGGACGAGGTCCAGGAGGTCGCCAACGCCATTCAGAAACTGGAGGGCAAATGCTGATAGAGGCTGGGAGGAATGTGTGGAAGTGGCAGAGATGAATGAGAGGATACTGTGACAACTCTCTCACCATTTTCGACAACACACACACACACACACCTCTCTGTGTTTGCTCTTGGCCCACCGTGCAGCTCCGGCGTGGAGTCCGTCCAGCTGGGCCAGGATCAGTCCCAGGTGGTTCCACAAGGGGTCGCTGTGTCTCCTCAGTTTCACCTGCTCTCTGGCCCACTGGTCCTGCTTACTGCGGATCATTCCACACATTCCTCACAGCTGAGAGACACTTTGGGCTCTTTCTGTTACTAACAAGTGCATTTGGCTGCTGTCTGCGGCCTGATTTCGCTGTGTAAATTCAGAATTACAACAATCACTGCATGCGTAAATGTCTTTTTTTGTATTTAGTATATAGACTAGTGTCAATACTGCTGAAGCTGACAATATTTCATCAATCAATGTGTTCATTTTTTCATTTCTACACAAAATAAGAAAACAAATCATACAAATATTGAGTATATCTGTTTAGTCAGGTGAAGAGGCCTTTGATGTCTGTTGGACATGATAGCTCTTCATGGAAACTCAAAATAATGACATTCTCTCCTTCCTTGCAAGTTTTACAGACCTTTTTTTTCTGTAGCCAAAGGGAAGAACCTCTTTAAGAATGTACCTTAAGAACCTCTTCAGAGGATTCAAAACCTTGTCATCCTTCAGGAGTTGAGGGTACATGTTGGAGTAATGATTGAACATCTGTCTGCGGAGAAAGGATAACAACAGTGGGACTTAAACCATTTCTAGGTCACGAAGTAACGCACAGTTTGAGCGACAGCTAATAGCTACACTGTCAAGATTGTAATCAGAACTGTTATCCAATTAATCAAACCAACCCAGTGATGCAAAAAGGTATTCAGAATAATATTTCCGATATCTGTAAACAATGAAAATTGGCCGTTGCGTAACATTTTATGAAGATGTACAACAGCTGACGCATTTTAAAAGGCCTTCTTAGTTTTATTCATCATGAGTATGTTTCTTTGCTTTTAGAATATGTTAACCCTGATATGTAAGTCTTTTACAACACAATATCATATGACGGGCCTTTTTCAACCTGTCAAAGAAGGAAATACTGAGGTGTTGCTTATAACATTAAAATGAATCTGTTCTATTCAAGTGACCCAGTAAGCCATGACGGTGAGCCAAAGCTTAATGGAACAAAAAATGCCCTTTCAGTAAAAGTTTAAAAAATTGTTTTAAATTGTAATCATTATTTTTGTTATTTTCCTCCAGCTGACTGATCAATATATAAAATATATTTGCATTATACATATTCAACATTTGAGACACCCACAGGCATAAAGTCTATGGAGTCTATGGTCATTCAAATGATGCTGATTGGCCCTGACAGGGACAGTCATGGTGGGTGAAATGGTTTTCTAGTTAAAGAGCAAATATGCCCTCGAATATATATGTTGTGCTATTTCCTGATTCTGTTTGACCATTGAACTACAGGTGACTGACTGACATTTCAGACACATTTGCTTTGTTTGCAGTTCACTAGACGACCTGCGACACTCACCCAGCAGTGAGATAGCCTTCCAGGTACCCAGCCAGGAAGAAGGTGGTCTCATCTTCCTGTGCGGTTCCTCCATGGCCTGCGCAGATCTCCAAGACGCCCCATCCAGAGAGGAGCAGAGTGTCATTGAAGTACCCGTAGGCTCCCCCTTCTGTTTCCATCGCCCCTTCCCTCAGGATCACACTTTTCTGGGCAGCATCCCAGTACACAGTGGCCTCTCGGAGCTCTACCATTGTAGGAGGATGGGCAGGGTTACAGGGTTGAGGTTGGATAACACGCATTATATAAGATAATGCCATCACACCAATAGCATGAACTACAGGGAAAACGCAGCTCATGAATAAGATTACTTTTTCTTATTTGCTACTGGATTGTTTTTTGTTAAATTAAACTTTATAGACTAACAGGGTTCCCATTGATCTGTGTTGTTACTTGTTGATTCAGGTAGAAGATGATTAACTATTTGCAACTAAATCTGATTTATTGTATGGGTTAGCATACAAGGTTTTCTCCCAGCAAATATTCGTCAACATATAATGTATTATTAAAAGTAATAATACAAATAAAAAAGATGATAATATATGTAAAATAGAATATAGCAGAATAGAATAGAACAAATAAACAATCCATTACATCTTGCATATTGTTGCTATCTATAAATGTTGGTCATACGCAATTCCATATAAACAAAACAGCTTTCCTTTTTCAACAGGTTAAACTGAATTATACTGGATTAAAATGAGTTTTCATCATTTTCAGACACCCCAAAGGCAACATTACTCACGGTAAGTTTGCACAGATGCAGCCAGAGCGCTCAGCAGTACGCACAGCTTGATGCTTTGCTTCTCCATGTCGACTGATGTTTTCTTGTGAATCTCTGCTTCAAAGAGTAAATTTTGTTCTTTGAGAGCGACGGTGGTGAAGCATAATTTCCACAGAGCGAATAGAGCCTTGTTTTTGGTTGCTGCTTTTTTTAATTGCATGAGCCAATATTCGTCACCATGTTCTTCCTTTTGATGGATTGCCTCAACTTCAGAAAAAGCAACCACCCCAGATGGGACTCGAACCCACAATCCCTGGCTTAGGAGGCCAGTGCCTTATCCATTAGGCCACTGGGGCACTATGTAAAAGGGGCGGAGTCAGAGTAATTTATATCCGGATGTAATGCCACCCGATATTGGTTGTAGAGTTTGTATTTTCTTAAACGTAAAACCTCCCATTTCACAAGCTGAGCCCCTGACATAACACTTTGTATTGATTTAATCTGTTCAGGAATAAAACGCTTGGAAAGACCAGGTGCCTTCCTCACATATGCACCATGGTTATGTGCTGAGGTTTCATGGATGGTTCCATTATCTCGCCTAAATAGGGGTATTTATATTATCCTAATGCAACTTTGACCATTACAAAATGCATACAAGGGCCCTAGATATACCATTTAAGTAAAGAGTTACATTCTAAATGTGGCAAACTTACTTGTGTTGGCAAATCTCTTCTAACTACTTTATATTAAAGCCCCGCAAGATTTCAGTGTCTGTTTTAGACAAATGGAACATTCACACTTGCGCAGTGGCAAGTATGGTTTTGTTTGGAGAGAAAATAGTTTCAACCACCACGTTAAGAATTTAAATAAATAGTCTGTATGGAGGTAAATATATTAGAAATCCACTCTCAGTGAATAAACAACTACTAACCCACCTGTGAGGCAGTCGACTGTTTCAATTAAATGTCAGGTATGAGTAGCTAGCGAGTGTTAGCCACCTAGCATTAGCTCGGTAATGTAGCGATAGCAACGATAAACAATAACTGTGGCTACGTGATATTAGCTTCTATTGCATAGCTGCTAATGCTACCATTGGTGTACCATCTGTTATACAGGACCTTAAGAAATCACTAAAGATGCCGCTCTTTGGAAACACGTTCAGTCCGAAGAAGATTCCCCCCCGAAAATCTGCATCTCTGTCCAGCCTCCACACGGTGAGAGAACTGTTAGAGCAGCATCATGCACTAACAATAAACACGCTGTTTTAGTTGCACTGGTGGATGAATTCAAATAAAACCGGTTCCCCTTTTTATAATTGCATATATCCAGGGGATAAACAAAAGTAAGGGAATTAAATAAATATCATTTTGAGACCGCTGAGGTGTGGATTGTGCTCAGTGGGCTGCAGCTCGACATTGTGTTTGTCCTTGCATGCAGACTGATCTATTGTTTTCACCCCTCGTCTGTTTAGTTGGATCGTTCAACCAGAGACGTAGAATTGGGTCTTGAGTATGGACCTCCTGTGATGAACCTTGGAGGTCAGAGTTGGAAGTTTGAAGAGGGGCAGTGGATATCAGGTAATGAGACTGATAGCAATGCAGAATACAGACCAGTGCAGTGGCTACTTCCACTGTTGGTCCCTGAATAACCAAAGCAACATTAACCCTTGCTTTTTTTTCCTGTTTTGTTGAAACAGAATCTGGTGGAAATGGGTCCGGTAGGGAATTGCAGCGGCTTAAGAAAAAAAATGTGCAGCTGGAAGAAGAGAACAACCTCCTGAAACTTAAAATTGAAATTCTCTTGGACATGGTAAGAACTGAGCAGCTTTGATTTTGCCCTTCCATTCACAAAAACATTAAATATGCTGTATGGAAGTACTAGGAAAGTGTATGTTGGCCTCCTCCTCATACCCCTTTCAGACGGATGCAGTGATCTTGGATAAACCTGTGTTTGTTATGTAAATAGATAATATAATCGTCAGTCTCCATATTCATGCTTTTCTTCAGTTTAGAACATGTAACACTTAGATTTATAATAAAGTCTCGCTCAATACATTTTGATCATACACTTAATTACCAGTTCAGTGATTGATGTAATTTACTCTGTTACAAAATCTTTTAAATAACTGATATTTAATCTTTTCCTTACAGCTGACAGAGACTACCGTGGAGTACCACCTGATAGAGAAAGAAGTGGAAGACATAAAGACTCAACATCGAAGGAAGAAATGAAAGATCTGATGCCTTCATCACAAGAAATGTTCTTCATTCTCAGAGAGCTTGAAGTTTGTTGATAAAAAAAGAGCTGTTACTTTGTTCTTGTTTTTTGAGGATTTTTGTGCCGTAGGTCTCGGCCCTGCTTGTATTTAATCGGAAAAGCAGGTACTCCTTAATCAGGTTTTCTGTCTACTTTTATTTGTTTTGTTCCGCATTTGTAACTAAATCTGAAACAACTGTGAACATCTTTGTTCAAGACACTGCATCGTTTCTACATCTGTATGGCAAGTACTGGCCAACATTTTCTTTTTAAGATTTTTTGTATTTATTGTATTTTCTATTCTGATTAAAAGTAAAATCCATCAGAGAGAGTGTGGCGTTATTGTCATTCAAAGTTTTTGAAAACAATATTACCCAAACATCTTATTAAATTGATACTTAATTGAGTCATAATCATTGACAAATTCACAAGAAGACAAGGATAAATATTCATTCCTCAAAGTGTTTGGGCAGTAATTTTGCCTGCGCGTGTATATATAATCCTAGTAGTTGGACATGTTATTTTTGACCTAGGGAACAGAAGTTTGACAAAAATGTTATCTCAAGGTCCACTACTAGCTCTTTGCTTTTACTCACAACCCAGTAAGTAAATACTTTGTGAAATGTAGTTTGGAATTTCAATGTTTGTGTTTTTTTTATTTTTATAAAGTAGATCTGTTATTGATCATATTCTGTATTAAAAAGGATTACTGGTTTTCTGTGAATTAAAGGTACGGAGCTTTATAAATTACTTTATTACTTTACTTAACTGGGTTGTCCTAATTGGTAGATGCACATGTCAGTCAAGGGCTCTTTCTAACTGCGCAGGCGCAGGCGGTCGTAAGTTAATGCAGCGTTTCGACGGTTCTGCTTCCGACAGCGGGAGAGAAGAAGTCGTGTCTACTCTAGCCTTTACTTTGAGCACTTTAAACTGCCGGCTTGGCCTGTACAACTGTCAGGTTACTCAGCGATATAGAAGAGGACTTAATTTGTGTCCACTTGACTTTTAATAATGCCTCGGGGCGGTGAGTATTATGAACCTAAATGTAACACATGCTAAATCTAGCTAGCGAATTGTTAGCTAAAGTAGTATGATTTTCCGTTGAACTCTCACATGTTTAGCTATTAGGTATTAGCATGCTAACTGGTTAGCATGGTGTGTATGCGGGTTTAAACGATTCAGAGAAGACGCGGCATGTACCAATAGCGAGTAGCTAATGGACATGAACACTTGTTGGTATTTTTCAGTCTCTAAATGGTCTGAATGGTTAGCTGTTTTGACCATTTTGTGTTTAATTGCCAGCGTTACCATGTGCACAAGAGACCGCTAACTTAAACACAGTATTATCATTTATTTTAACTCATGGCGGTTGTTACCATAACCAGATCCGTTCACAAGTCCGTTTGTTAACATATTCTCGAGCTTTGTATTCGTCTTATCTAACTCTCACTAGCTATGACATTTTGCCGGTGAACGTAGCTGGCCCTCAGTGAACGTCATGTGTGACTCATCTCCCACCACACACACACACACACGTACTCTCTTAAACCTTTTCACACTTTACAAACGCATGGAATCTTAAATTAACTCTAATTTCAACTTTATTGGGATCTGCGATTCAGGGGTGGTTGGGGCCAGATGTGTCCACATACGGAGAGTGTATATAAAATCAGCTATACCTGCGCCACAATATTGCATCACCCCAAACTCTGACTGACGAAATTGTCATGGTGTCCAGCTTAGGCCTCTCAATTTCAATAACAAGCGTCACCAAGGCAGTATTTATCAAGGGCCATAAATAGTCTCAAGTCATTGTAAAGTTGTTGTGGAGTGAATGTGTCCCTGTACTGAAAATGATTCAGCAAACGTTTGCTTGTTGAATGACGAACTTAAAAACAGTGGGATACAGCTGATCCGCTAGTAACAACTCTTACTTCTGTGTTACAGGGAAAAGGGGCCACAAGGGCAGAGGGAAGCAATTTAGCAACCCAGAGGAGATCGACAGACAGATGAAGGCGCAGAAAGAGTTGGTGAGTGAACGGTCTTTGTTGCAGATGCAGAGTCACCTTTAATCAAGGCCTGTTGTCATCGAATGTCTTATGTTCACAGGAAGAAAATCCTAATGCAGAGAAGGTGGACTCTGCCGATTCTGAGGATGAGAGCAGCAGTGAGGACGAAAATGAGGTGAGTGAGGGAAGGGGTGTAATGCTGACTGAGCAGGGAAACTACTTGGTGGGGTTGAAGGACTTGCACCGCACCTAATCTTGCTCAAATGCATTTAACTTAAATTCCATTGTAACTGCTGTTAATATTCTTATGTAACGTTGATTGCTTTTGGCACAGGGAATTAGAAAATACACGTTGAACAATGAAATGTGTATTTGAAGGACAAAGCTACACTCAAAACTGGTTATGTGTAGTTGCAGGTAGACAAACTAGTTTACCAGCCTTTGTCATAATTTACAAGCTCTGTAATGATGTGTTCCTGTCTTCACTGATGTTACAAAGGTGTTTCTTTTTGCACACAGTCCAGGAAAAAATGCGGAGTGGAGGGACTTATCGAGATTGAGAATCCCAACCGTATGTCTCAGAAGAGCAAGAAGGTGGCTGAGTTAGACGTCACTGCTCCCAGAGAGCTGTCTCGCAGGGAACGGTAGGTGGCTCGCAACAAATGAACCTCCGTATTTGTGTTTATTGCATTTTGTTTGGCTTCTGGAAATGTACACTGTTGCTGACACCAGGACTCTTGGTAAGTATTGTTTTGTCTTATGTGTATGCCTTCCTGTTGTCTCTGTCAGAGAGGAGATAGAGAAGCAGAAATCAAAGGAACGCTACATGAAGCTCCATCTCGAGGGGAAGACTGAGCAGGCCAGGGCCGACCTGGCCAGACTGGCCATCATCAAGAAACAGAGGGAGGATGCTGCCAAGAAGAGAGACGACCTCAAGAAAGGTGATGGAACACACTGAACAGTTCTGTAAAGTTAAAACTTTGTGGACTAAAAGTGGAGATTGTGCTTTTAATCAGCATGTTGCATAGAAACAGCCCAACTCAGTGCTGCCCACACCGGAGGGGGAAACAATGAATCACTCTCCATTGACTGTGTATTGTGTGACGGTACCTTCTTGTCCCTTTGGTCTGCTAGCAAACAACAGAAAACATGCTTTAAAGCTGCTGTGTGGTGGGATGCACCACCAACAGGGTAAAGAACCAAGAACTAAGTTTTTATAAGCCACTGAACCAAAAAACTGAACCTTTTAGGAAGACAAAAGTGGATACAGGCAATAAGATGTGAGGTATCAGCAGGAAAAACTGTTGGATCCTGTCGCTCAGTGTGCCTAACGTCACATGTGCAGCAAATGTCAGTTTTAGGCTAACTATATATCTGTAAATTAAGCTAAAACATTTTGACAATGTGCAATTTATGTTATCGTAGAATGTGGATACATCAGAAAGTTATTCACTATTATACTCGCAAGTGCCTTTAGCTAACTAACTTACTGCAGCTTACACATAGCTGACATTATGTTGCTAACGGCTAACTTGTCCCATCGTTATTATAGTTACGAACTGCACCCCTGGTGGATTACAGGCTGGAGATATACAGTACTTGCTTAATCTCGCTTTGCATTCATTTCTGAGGATGAACACAACCAACGCTCCAAACGGACGCGGGATACACAAGGCAGCAACATGTGAACATGTGGTTTAAAGCAATAATATCACTCAATCATCCCTGACAGCCATGTAATCATGCTGCTTTCAGTCACCAGTGAGGTGAGCTCCAATGCAAAAAGCTACCGATTGTGGAGTTGTAAGGTTTGTTGGTACATGTACTGGATACTTCGTTGCATGTAAGGCACGAAAAATGCAGATGTGTTTAAGTTTAGAGAAGAAGGCGGGAACTTCCAACTAGGCTTGGGCGATATATGACGAGATTACCGCTCAACGTGACATTAGGTGCCCAAGGCGCTTGTGTGCTTCACATGTTGTTTGGAGCCTCACACTGTTCTCTGTGTTGCTTCTTATGTTTTTATCAGATAAAGATACTGACGAATCCAAAGCAAAGCGCTAGTCCTCCACCTGAAAGCTTCGACATGCACTTCAGTCTCAGAGGGCCGGAGAGAGGAGATCTGGAGGAGGACAACGGGGAGGGGGACCAACACGAGTGGCATCAGATCAGGGGCGATCCTGAACTCCTGTCCGTCATTTCAAATCAGAGGGGCGTGGGTCTTCCATAACGGCGAGGTCGGGACAGGGGGGGAAAACGGGTGAATCAAAAGGGAGCCGAAGAGGAATGCAACATTTGGGATGCCTCTAGGTTTCTTCCTCAAGAGGAGACGGTCGCAGGTTTTCCAAGTGCTTCACTGTCTCTTTTGCTCTTCCCCACCCACCAGGGTTTTAATTCTGAAGCTGCTGAAGTTATTATCATTTCTTTCCATTGATTCAAACATTTGTACACAGTTACCAAATACGAGTTTACTTAACGACTGGATGGCTTTTACAGTGAGCGTTCATGGGGGAGGGGGTGGTGGTGGTGGTGGTGGTGGTGGTGGTGGTATCTTTGGTGCTTTGCTTTTCCTTCCATCTCGCCTGATTTGTAAGAATCAGTGACAGATGGAGAAAAATAACACTATTCAGAGGATAAACTGATGTATAAGAATTATACAATGTAATGTAGTATTTGTGGATATGTTGCACAAGACATTGGTATAATTTTCTAAAGATTTAAGGTTCCCCCCCCACCCAGCATCCAAATCTATATATTTTTCTTCACAAGCTTTTTTTTTTTTTTTTTTTTTTTTTTGTTTTCGTCCTGGTGTTGGATTTTTTTTTTTATCCCCTTATTTTTCAATGGGAAATTTCCAGTTGGAAGAATAAGCTGTCCTCCTATCACAACACGTCTACAACATATTTAGTTTATTCTTTCGTTTTCATGAATCTGTTCTCCAAATTTACACTTTGCTCACTTGAATTCTCTTATTGCTGTCAGTTCAGAAGTGTTTCACAATGTGTTTTGTAGTCCTTTGCTCAGAGCGCTTGGAATATTACTTGAATTGCCTTTAATAAGCAATTTTAAGTTGTTGAAGGTCAGTGTTGGAAAGCGTTGTCCCAAACCGCCTCAGTAACTGTGGCCTGCCTTCTTTCTGATGGGGTCCTCTGTGGTTCTATAGGAGGGATTGTGTCTTCTGTGGCCTTTTACAAAGTTTACACAAGACCAGTTCACTGTCTTTCTCCTGCGATTAAAGTCCTACAAAGAACCTGCACCGAGTTAGTTTATTAGGTACACTTAGAATCTAATCAAATCCTTTACATCGTCACCACTAGTAAGTTTCCAAAATGAGCACCGCCGGCGAAACTAAAACGCAAAGTAATAAGCTTCACAAAGAGCTCTTACTGCAGGGCATTAGTAATGTTTAGAGTGTACATGATGAACTGTTACTTCAGTGTGTGGAGGAGTCAGAAACGCCCTGATCAGGAAAACAGTGATCCCTATAACATGGAAACGGCTTCAAGAACAAACCGTTGAAAACCCCGGAGTGAGAGAAATGGAGCCACAGCGCAAAAAAAAAAGGAATAGTGAAGTTTTCCATCATGTATTTGAAGTCATTTTTAAAAATAAATTCATTAATAGATAAATGACTGTTGTGTTCTTCAGTTACACTCCTAAAGCAGCTGGAATATGTGTTTATGATTCATTCTGTTCAGTGTCTTCTAGTTGTTTTGACGCTGAAAGTGAAGGCAGATTAAAAAACACTGAATATTGTAGAACTTGGATGAAATAAAGACTTGAATCTTGCGATTGAGATGATAAACTCACTTTAGCAATGTTTGCTGTGGTAATAGATCAAGTGAGATGGAGGGTACATTTTCTCAGACGTCAATAGAAAGTCAGTTTGTCATAGATTTGTTGTATCATGACAAACTACAGCAGTTATAAAAAAAATGATATGAATTCATTAAGTTCCCACATTGTTTCCCCCTCATTCATTAACGTCACATCTTGTTCCCTTACACTTAAATGTATGTATCATTATCAGTAAAGATTACAATTATTTATGATTTAATTTGAATTAAATTGGGAAGAATTATGCTGCACGTTACCGTAATCTAAAGCTTTCCCCATTTTATTTATATCAACATGTAATATTTTATTTATCAATACTTAACAGTACCAACAGTAATGCCTTTGAGTCAAATGACAATTAAAAAGATATTAGATCATAATTTGCACAATATTTATCGTGAATTAATTGTTGTACATTGTCAGATTTTTGAATTATATCAGAAATATATTCTATATAATATATCTATATATATCTAATACAAAGACATATTTAGAAAGTTTGTCATACATTGATTTTTATTGTGCTACTCTGTAAATAAACAGTATACATACAGTACATACAGTTTATATCAACATACTGTGTTCTATGTGACAAATGACTAAAGGACTATATATATATATACATAGTACATTTATATATATATGTATATATATATATATATATATATATATATATATATATATACAGTATATACAGACTTGATCAGATCAGACCTATCAGTAATGACACAGTCTTCTTGACCGTTACCTGATACCTCCATAAAGATGAAACTAGCCAGGAAGCCTCTGTCTCTCTGTCAGTCGTTACAATTGTCATGTTTTCAAATGGGTTACTTTGTTGCACACTTATTTCTTGGGTTTGTTTGATCTCACATGCCTGTAGTAGTGCAGAGTTGTGGAAACCATCATCTCCTCTTTTAGTGGATTTGTTGGTCAACTCCCAAACAACCAACATTCATTCGTTCATTTGTGTTGCATTTCTGTCCTAAACACTGACGCTGTCCCAACTCAAGGAAAACAGGGTTGGACCCAAATGCAGACAAAACAGGTAGACAGGATCAGTTCAGTGGTTTAATAAAGGTTTATATACTGTGTGTTCCAATTACCATAATACCATTCTATTACTATGCCAGGAAAAATATCTAGTATGTCCCAATACATAGTATATCAAATAGAGTTTGCCACAAATACCAGGATGTACTGCATCTGGTCATCTAGTTATTAATAATCTTTTTTTTCTTACTCTCTTTCCTTCACACACTCTGCTTACTTTAGTTCATCTGCACAGCTACAACGTTTAACTCAAGCCTCTGACTGTTCCCCATCTTTCTCTTTTCCTCAATCAAAAGGTTTTCTTTTTTTTTTTAAATCTTGGTAAGAGTGCTTTTGATCACTTGTAACATTTTCCTCTCACCTACGAGAAGCTTAAAAATAAAGAAACCAATGGCGATTCCAAGAAATGATTGGGTACTAGCAAGATATGAACAAATCCTGGGTACAAACCTGGAGAAGCATGTTGGTGCATTCAGCTGTTTCCACCACCAGACTGCAGCGTCTGACTGGTTAACTTACAGCCTCCGCCTGAACCTCTGTGCGCAGCTCTTGACGCACTGCCAACATCTAAACAGGTTGACGTTCGGCAGTGAGATGGAATTCAATTCGGATGCCATTTTACCACAAAACCAAAGATGGCAACAATAGCACTCATGATGATTCCCCTCACGCGTCAGTGGAGCCATGACTCAGCCTGTGCTGGTGTTCAGGTGAGCTCCTCCCATCACATCCTGGATGTGTTAACTGTAAACTTGAAGTTTAACAAGGTTTTATTTTTGCTCTAAATGATATTTTATCTTTCATTTGAATAGCTGTTTATCGATTGATTAGTCCCACACTCATAGTTGTAATATGAAATGTGGGGGTGAAATACTCTACAGGATGGTTTGAAAGCCTGCTGCGCACTAATGAGAGTACGATATGTACCAGAAAACACCTCGGTTCAATTAGAATGCTCCAGAAGAGCCACATTTAAATACATTCTTTTTTAAACTGACTGACAAAATTGCTACAACCAGCAGCATTGATAGTTTCCTCTTTTGGCCTTTTCACATCCGTTTAATTCTTCAGCGCACACTGTTTGCATTTACAGAAGTGTGTACTAACCACTGCCTGCTCGAGGTATGTTTTAACAGCATAAGTGTCCCTCTAATGAGACGTAAATCTGCTAATGTCTGAGTACAATCCAGAAACATTACAGATGTATCGTCCCTACAGTAGGAGGAAATAGTACTTTTGTTGTCTGGGAAACTACATAGTAAAAAAAAACGTTCTGCCATTACACCTCAATAAAACACAATAACTCACTCTGCTCTGTGAATACATAGCAGTAGTGGAGTGTCTTTATTGGATAACTCTTAAATCATAGTGTGACAGTCACATCTCTCTTCCCCCTCACAGCTCACACCTCATCTGTGCAACTTCCTCATTCGCTGACTTGTGTTCGATGTGACTTAAGAGCAAATCTTAAAAGCAACGACCACAGAGGCGACCGGTGCGTGCCGATCTCTCCCCGATATGAAGTAACACATCTGGACGTCTTTGGAGCAGAGGTATATCTTTAAGCAGGACTGAGAAGGTCAGGTATAGGGAAGCGGGTCAGACTCCACAGCCAGCATGCTCCGGCAGTCCTTGAGCATCCTGAAGCAGTTTGGCTCTACGGCAAAGTAAGTGCTTGAATGTGATATTCATCTCCTCTGATAAGGATTGTTGTAGAACATGTTGCATTGAAACTGTCGTAAGCACATCAAGGCTCTCAGACTCACATGTACACTGAACTCAAGGGCTCTCAAGGCCTTGAGTGAACCCAAACGTGTAGATTTTGGTCTGATGATAAACACATTGGGGTTGAAGTATTTCAATTTCTTGGTGTTTTTAAAAGCTTCACTTTGAAATTATTAAAACAAACTTCTTATAAATAAAGAGTTGGATTTAGAAGCAACACTTTGAGGTTTTGCTGCTATGTTATTTGGTCTTGTGACTGGTAGCTTTTGTTGATTAATGTCATCAGACTTTAGACAGATTCCGCTGTAAAACAGACAACTGAGTTAGTTTGGCTGCCGTCACTACTCTTCTCTACTTGTGCAACCGTTACACTTTGTTTTTGTCATTCACCGTCTTCCCCTAACTGTCACTCGCCAGCTGCGGTGGCTTTAAGCAAAAGTTAAGGCTTCATTTGAATCGACACAATCTCAGGATTCTGAGTGTTTATGCAGTGATGGATCATTTCAGTTATGAAAACTTTGAAGGCTCGTTTTTTGTTTTTTTTCTCCTCATATCCAGAAACCTTTCTGGACTTTTCACAAAGCCCGTATAGGAGGTCTGCCATACCGGAGAGGGTTTTCATTTCAGCACAATATTCCGCTTTGAGGAAACGTTGAATTCGACTTCGGTTTCCATGATCTGGTTTTGTCGCAAACACAGTTGAAAAGTGTGTAGAGCTGGAATGAAAACAGTTGCTGGTTCCTCTTGAAAGTGAAGGAGGCTGTTTGAGGGGAAACCTCAGGCTGTCTGCAGTTTGTGGTACATGTTGGCAACGCACATCTCTTTATGAGGAAAACAAAACTTTGTAACAGCAGGAAGAATTTGTTGCAACTTTTTTTGCATTGAAATTTCAGCAATTTCATCATCAACAGGCGCCACTTTGTTTCCCTGTGTTTGAATACCTCTGATCTAGAGAGCTTGTGCCTGACTGACATTCGTAAATGAGAGGCTGACCTAATCACACATCTACACCCTGTTTTTCTTGGTACAAACTGCCTCTACCTCTGACACACTTATTAATAAACCTACACAGCGTGCATCTGCAGCAGTGCAGCGTGGGCTTCACTTACCACAGCAGCACCCATTTCACAGTTTGTACTGACATATACTGTATGTACAAAAATAAAACACGTCACCCACTCAAAGTATATTGTCATGTACTGCATGTTATATATGAATAAAACAGTTTTAAATGTGATACTTTTAAGTGTAACAACACATTTATTCTGATACATCAGCGTGGTCAGGGAGTAATCAGCACTGAACTACACTATTAGTCTAAACACAAACACTTTTACATTCCTTATAAAGCGGACGACACCTCTGCTCACACGCTCTGATTTTACTCTCTTCTGTGGAATAATTTGCTTTTTACGCCTCAGAAGGAAAAGTTGAAATGAGAGTCGGAGATAAAAAAAAAAAAAAGGAACTGGCGCGCGGTTCAAACACATTGGGGAATTCTCCTTTTTATGTTTTTGAAACGTCAGGTGTTCACTGGAGGAAACTGCGCCGTGGAGGTGCTGCTTCAAGCTCGCCTGACCTCTCTGCGAACTGGGTTGGGCTTCCTTTTGGTGTGACACCAGCTCGATGTTCTCAGAGAAGGTCGTGTCACCTCTCTGTTCTCTCTGTTCATCTCCCTAAAGGCCTGCGCGTGTCGCAGCAGAGATGGTGCGTGTGGTGGTACTGAAGTAAACCGCAGCAGCTGTCCTCGCAGGTTTAGGTTTGGGTGGCTGGCTTCATGTTCGCTTGTCGGTCAGGCCTAACAATGTTCCAAATGATCAGCCAGCTTATATTGAGAGCTCAGAGCAGAAGAGGTGTACTTTAAATGTAAAGTCTCTGCAGCGGTTTATATTTGACTCTCGTCTGATAAAGAGCATCAATAATAAGTCTTGTATCTCAGACCATCCCACCAGCACATTTCATTCAGATTAAAACAAAGAAACCATTCGCACTTAGTGTGAAACCAGTCGTTATTATTGAATAGTTCACATGCAGTCGCAACTTGTTTTGAATTCTATCACTTTATTTCTTTGTATATTTTATTTTAAATTATTCTTCTTATTAAATGACACTCATTTCTGTCCCAAAAATCACGTCTGTGCACTCTTAAGAAACCCTCTGTAAGTGCAGCCATATGTCCTCAAATGTGTTTGTCTAACAACGGTCCGAAAACCAAAGATATTTAATGCACAATAATATAAAAGAGAGTAAAAGCAGCAAATCCTTTGGCGTTTTTGTTTGATGAATGAACGGTTATGACAGAGCATAAACAAATATTCGACATTGTGGAAGATGTGCTTTTTTTTATGCTTTCTTGGCGAGAGTCGGTGAATAAAATGATATTTGAGGATCACAGTTGGTTGTGACATCGGGGTCGTTTACTGTATATTAACTAACCAACTCAACATACTCTTCTACAGGTCACAAGATGCCACTGAACTTCTACACGAAGACCTGGTTGTGGTGAGAAAAAGAGAATATTCTACTGTGAATGACTTATTTTTAACAAGAGATTGCATTATTTGTGTTTTGTTACACTGTGATTCAAACTTAATTCCCAATCATTATTATGGGAAATCTATGGCACACATTCAAATTTGTTATTACAGATTTCTTGCTTAGCACCACACCACCTAAAAAAAAAATCACATTAAACATGCATGACTAATTTCTACAACATGCATCATGTTGAGTAAAAACATCCAGGAGCTTCGCTGCAGGTTAACAGCTGATCATGTGTGTCTCTGACTGAAGGTGGAGGGGCGGGTGGAACCGGCCAAGAAGGCGGCTCAGGTCCTGCAGAAGAAGCTGCAGGGCTGCATGTACAGTCAGACAGGCCTGGAGGCCGAAAAACGAATGGTATCACAATGATTGCATCCACCAGGACACGTCCAGAAAATGTTGGAGCGGTTACTGAGAGGTGTTTCCGTCTGCTTCTGTCTCCTCAGAAAAAGCTGCCTCTGATGCTGCTGTCCGTCAGCATGGCAGAGAGCCTCAAAGACTTTGACGCGGAGTCCTCAATCAGGTGACGTCCATCCGCTCCCTCCGTGAACCTGAACTCTTCTTGACTTAATAGCAGTGTTGACTGCTGTCATGTGACACCCTCATGACTTCAGTTCTGGATGAAAAAGAAAGAGGATCCCACACACTGTTGACAGCTTGTGACTAGCTGTTCGTGTCTTTTAGTTACATGGGTGGCGATTGGTTTTTAGTCTCTAGATCATAATGTAAATGTGTTTTGATCAGTTACAAGACAGGAGTTGACCTTGAGCTGTGTGTGTGTGTGTGTGTGTGTGCGTGTGTGTGTGTGTGGCAGGAGGGTGTTGGAGATGTGCTGTTACATGGAGAAGAAGCTGGCCAGCATGCTGGCGGACTTTGAGATGAAGGTGGAGAAAGAAGTTCTGGAGCCGCTCAACAAGCTCAGCGAGGTGAGAATGCCTCGTATACCGACTAGAAACTTCATGTACAATGCAGGTGTTGATGGCAGCTGCACCACATCTGTATCAGAACATACACAGAGGGCTGGTTGTATTGGGTTGAATTGTATTGATCGGATGTTTGTGTTCTTTTTTTCATCCTCAGTATGTATTCACCTAGAAGTGTAAAGTAGGCACATGAGTCAATGTCTTATTGTTCATTTCTGTCCCGGATTATATGCATGGACAACTAGCTGCAGCTGAATAGACATGAAATATAAGAAAATGATATTGAACCAATTCAAATTGAGTTTTTCCACTCAATGTTTTCTTTCCCTTCTAGGATGATTTACCAGAGATCCTCAAGAACAAGAAGCAGTTCACAAAGCTCACTACAGACTGGACCACCGCAAGAACCAGGTGAGTTACACAGCCAGCGTGTTTATCCACCAACAAAGTTCCTACTACAAATCATACTCATTTCTCTGTGTGTGTGTGTGTGTGTGTGTGTGTGTGTGTGTGTGTGTGTGTGGTCAGGAGCCAAGCCAGCACTGGTCCCCAGGCAAAGCAGGATGGGCTCAGGGAGGAGGTGGAAGAAGCTTGGAGAAGGTTGGAGAGCATCAAGGTACCAACGTCTTCTCTTCCGACCACCATGGCTGCAGCAAGCATGTGGCACCTCTGTGTAATCAGTACCGCGGCCTTGACCTCTGACCTCTCTGTATATCTGTCTCTGTAGGACCAGTACTCCGCAGATCTGTATCACTTTGCAACTAAAGAAGACGACTACGCTAACTACTTCATCCGCGTGAGTTGCAGTTGTGATGGCTTGCCCTTTCTTTGTTCTTCTTCAATCAAAACCAAATGCGCATACGTACCTCTCTTGTGTCTCCATCCAAAGCTTCTCGAGCTGCAAGCGGAATATCACAAACATTCACACGAATTCCTGAACAAAAACATCAGCGAGCTCAAAGAGAATCACAATCAAAAAGGTCGGTAGTTATTCTGCACCAGTTTGTTCGCTGCGCTGTCATCGGGGGGGGGTGTTTCTGTCCTGATTTCCTCTGTGTGCTCGCTCCGCAGCGCCACCGCTAAGCCTCTCTGGTCAGAAGGTCTATGGGGAGCCTCTGCTCTCTCATCTGTCTCAAAGCAACAGAGAAATCGCTGCACCCATCCAGGAGTGTGTTTACATGCTGCTGACAACGGGCATGACTGAAGAGGTGGGACTGACAGGAGGAGACGACACGGTTCACAATTCAAAATCTTGACACTCTTCACAGCATCTTCAGCTTTTAATTTAAATCCTCACAAATATAAGAACCTATGCACGCTTAGTCAGTTGTTATATAAGCAGTGGAGGTAATGATACTTCTATAAATATCTACACATACATATCTAAAATGAAGGATGTGCAGAGGCTCAGGCAAATTAATAAGTGTATTTTTTCATGCAGCAAATTATATCTTTTGCAGACTGTTAAGTGTATTTGACAAGCATTGCTCTGGGCATGGCTGGTTTTGACTGCAGCCCTGGTCCTATCCCCTCCTGTCCCATTTAATCTCTTCTTTTTCTCCATCTTTGTTTTGTTCCTCCTCCTCCTCCTCCTCGTCCTTCAGGGGCTATTCCGTCTGGCGGCCGCCGCCTCAGTGGTGAAGAGGCTGAAGAATTGTTTGGATCGTGAGGTGGTCGACTACAGCGAGTTCAGCATGGACCCTCATGCCGTGGCCGGTAAGGATGTGTCCGCTTCTTTTTCCTTAGATTTCTTCTTAGTGGAGTTTGAGTTTCTGCTGTGGGCACTCTTCCTCAGCTGTTTCAGCCAACGTGACTTTCCCGGCTCCTTCTAACTGCCCACTTCCTCTTCTGTGTTTTTGTTTAATCCAAATACAGCCACTGTTGCAGCTTCCAGTAACTTGAAATACTCAATTTCCTGTGTGCTAGAGGATTTTTAGAACAGTAATATATAAGTTTTCATGAGTTGAGAATAGCATGAATCCCTACTTTTACCAGGAGTGAGGAAAAACAGCAAATATCATGGCAATATTTGAACATTTACGTATGTGTATATACAGTATATCATGGGTTATATACTGCTGTTATTGTTATTATTATTATTATTATTGTTATTATATCTAACAACACAGAAGTGGGTCTACTGAAAGTCTCTGAATGTGTTGTGACAGGAGCTTTGAAGTCTTACCTGCGAGAACTTCCCGAACCTCTGATGACCTTTGAACTCTACAATGACTGGTTTAAAGCAGCAGGGTGTGTATAATATCTACACGATATGTTTGTTTTATTCCTACACTCTAAAGGCGTTTTTGTTGAGTTTTAACTTTTTCTTCGCAGGGAAAAAGACCCGACGGAGAAGCTGGAGCAGTTCAGAGTACTACTGAAGAAACTGCCGCCAGAAAACTACAACAACCTCAGGTGTGTTGGCCTCCTCATTGATCACATGATCCGATGTCTCTTTGCGTTTCTCTGGCAGTCACTATACATTTACATGTCACTGCTGTCAGGTAAAACGTATCTGAAAAGGGTCAGCATGTCAGGGACAAAGAAGGACATCCTCATATTCAACTTGAACGTAATACATTTTAAAACCTGAAAAAAACCTTTAGTACTCGTTTGTTTCCTCTTCCTCCCTGTCAGGTATCTGGTCCAGTTCTTGTCTCTGCTGTCTGAGCAGCAGGCTGTCAACAAAATGACACCCAGCAACGTTGCCATCGTCCTGGGGCCCAACCTGCTCTGGCCACGAGCTGAAGGGTGCGTATGTCACCGTGATCGTCCCTATGTCTTCACCCTGCATACACTATTACCATACTCCATTCACAAGTTCCCCCCCATCCTGCCTGCTCTTCCTCTTTCGTCACGTTTGTGTCCTAATATTTTAAAGCGATGAGCGCTGGTGACACATTTCATCAACCGGACCAGCTGGTTACATGGAACTGAACCGCAGCATCCTGTTAAACAGATAAAACCGTGACAGATGGTTGACCAGGCTTTATTATTACTTGTTAAAACACTTTATGTGCAGGGAAGTTTATTTTTATTGTGCACGAATTGCAGGATGTGCATGTTTGGTTGCAGAAGTGCTCTCAGTGGTGAACCCTAAATGGGCAGAGTGTTTTTCCTTAGTGACACCCCGGTCAAATTCGTCTATGAAAAATAACGTGAGACAAATGCATTTCTCTAACCATGAAGACAGAGTTGGAAGTCGCCATATTCTGCAGTTGGAGCCCTTGTCTGTCCCACATGTCCTTCGTCTTTACCTTTTTTTAGGGAAGCTGCTCTGTTAGACATGGCGTCAGCTTCTTCAGTCCAGGTGGTGACGGTCGTTGAGCCTCTCATTCAGTACAGCTCCAGCCTCTTCCCCGAAGGTATACACACACGCCATGTACGCTCTTTGTGTGACGTCGGTATTCAGTCTTTAAGCGATCAAGGTTTATTACATAGTTGAATTTCAGTGTTTTGGTTTTGGTATTTCATCATTTCTTTTGGTTATGATGACGTTGTACTTTTCAAATTCATCGCTCGGATCTAAAAACGTGGCAGCAACGCTACAACGAATCAGATGATCGGACAATTTGACAATCAGGCCGGATTAATAAATGCTATGAGCTGTAGGCCCCTTTTGACACCACTTTCTGTGCAACTGTTTATGTATTAGTTAGTAATTAATAATTCGTTTAATGCCCAGATTTCTGAAGGAATATGTAATGTATAAACTGTAATAATACAGATTTAAAAGTGCCACCTTAATGTCCCGGCATTTTTTTATATTACCAGACAGTATTACCAAACATTACTATGACAACAAGTGACTGTAAGATGTGCATATTAAACAGATGTATGTATTTAAATTTCTAAAAACAAATATTCAGTTAATGTAAATGTTGCCTCATTTTATTTATGGAACGTTATCACAATGTCCAATTTAAAAAGTGAACTAATCTTACCACTCTGGAAACTGCTAATCTGAACAACTATATGTGGAGATAAAACTGAAAGTCAGCAAACACATTGGACAGGAAACACTAACCACTGCAAATAAGGAATGTCAAAGTTGAACCAGAAAGTCTGTCTGTAAACTCTGATAAATGTTTAGGTTTGGGTTTTAATCGCTCCTATTTCCTGCCCAAATGGTCCTCTTGTTAGCGAGGTCACATCTCAGCAATAAAGTGCAATGATGTTATTACCAATGGGAAAGATGGTCATACCTAAACAAATAACCTAGATTGAATCTTTAGATGACATGCAGTGTATTTGATGTATCACTCATAAATGTTGCTTTTTTCTTGTTTTGGTTAGCTGTATCTTTTGAGATCCCAGAACTTCCCGAGGTCCCGGATGTCTCCATGCCAGCCTCCGTCGCCCAGTCTCAGATCTCAGAAAAGGAGAAAGTGATGAGAACAGTCTCTTCCTCCTCCACAGCCTCCTCCTGCTCCTCTTATCACCTCGCTCTCTCAAAGACAAACAGGTACCACTTCACATCATCATGGTGATGACAGCGCTATGGGTTTGCGCACTAGCGGCTCCAAAGGGCAGCAAGAGGTAATGGTTTGAAATAGTTGGAGCTCATTCCAGTATTTTTGTCTATTTCTTTCCATCAGCACAGCCTCTCAGGACAGTTTTGGCTCCGTCCTGGTGAAATCTGGCTCTGTGAGTCGCAGTGGCACCTCCACATGGGCCAACCCTGTTGCTGACACAGCGGCACCAACGCATCAAAGCTCAACATCCAGCAGCTCCTCCTCCCTCGATCCCGGCCCTGTCGTGGCCTCCAACACTTTGGCCGCCTTTGGCACGGCGGCCCTTCCCAAAGCAACGGGATCGGCGCCGAACCCAAGTCAGATCAGGAGTCCCGTCCAGATGCAGTGCTCGGATGAAGGCCAACTGGAGCCAATTTTGGAGGCTCCTCCAGACTCCCCAAGAGCATTTGTGATGATCTCCTCACCATATAAACGTAAGTCCAATGTGTCCAATGCTGTCCTAACCTCAGATGCTGAATTGTTCAGGAATACGAGCTTGGCGCTCCAGTATTTTAGCATTGCACTTTTGTTCCTTTGGGGGTCTCACAGGAGATATGTTAGTGAAAGAATGGTCAAAACTGAAGCAGCAGAAGCTGAGATATCACGACTTTTAGTTCCTAGAGCAGGCCAAGCTCAAAGAACACTGGATCCTACATTTCCCATAATGCAATTCAATTGTTTTCTTTTGTTACAACCCTCCCGCCTGGTAAATGTTTCAAACGTATCCTCTCAAGTTCACTACAAAGGCTTTGACTTTGAAGCACGCAACCCAAGTATGACATGAATATGGCTGGGTAGTGCTCCTCATGACAAGTCAACTGAACCAAGTGTCAAATTGGTGAAGTGGCCCTTTAAGTGGCCCAAAACATATTTTCCTACAGCAACAGCAGCCCCCCTTTCATTCACTGTTGTTTTTGAGCTGAGGGCACAAGCACATCACATAATTTATCTATCATCTCTATTGTATAATGTCCTGTACAGATTCTTTACGTCTACCCTGTTTCCTCTCTCTAAGTCAAAGGGGTGGCTTGTTAGGTCAAGCTGACAGCGAGAAAATAAATGTACTGCTCTTGTTCTAACAACCAGGAAGTGCACAGGAAACAGGAAGTCTCAAACCACTGACCAAAACATAAACCTCCAGGGTAATGCATCATGTCTGCCTCACTCATAAGACAGAGGCTGAAATACTTTCCCTTCTACTTTTAGTCTTCCCATCCTGATATGTTTGTCTGACCACGAAACTGATTTTCCAAACTTGAGTATAATTTGTTTTTCAGGATTGTTTTTCTCACAAAATAGAATTCAAATGCAGCAGTTTTTAGCAGCAGCAGCAGCCTGTCATACAAACGTTATAACTTCCTTCCTTGAATTTAAAAGCAGAATAGCGGTTGTTTTAAAACTGAAACCAAAAATCTAAAACTGGCAATCCAAGATCCAGACTGACAAAAATGAGATTGCCTCATTTTTTCACTTTATGAAATACATTCTTCATATTTAGGTTATTTTAATTCTTTGCTTTTGTGGTATGTATGTTAAAAATGCTGCATCTAATAATTGTATATTGTTTTATCACATTTGTCTCTATTCAAAATTCAATTGAAAGTGAAATTATGTAACTTTTCCTAAACATTTACAATTACAGGATAATCATGCTAAAATAATGCAATGCTAAATTGAAACAAGAGTCGTAGAGTCAGCAAACAGTTACACAGCAATATCTTAGCTAACATTTACCACCTTGTGTTAATCTGGTCGTTCTCCGATAGTGTCTTTATAATCCCACTGTCCTTTTGTTTGTTTCTCACCCCACAGCTAAAAGATCTTTCAACCAGACCAAATCTCAGCCAGCTAACGAGCAGTTGACCGTTCAGTTCTGTAAACCCAGACCCTCGGTACCTCCAAAGCTCCAGGCCCCTCGGCTCACCGCCACAGCCCCGGCCGTGGTGGACACAGCAAGCCAGCCGATACCCCCACCCCGAGCTCAGTTGGCCAGCCTTAAAAAGCACCCTCCAAAAAAGCCTGGACTCAGAGCCCCAAAGTGCCCTCCACCACTTCCGCCACCGTCACAGGTGAAAGCGGTTCCTTCTTCAGCACAGTAAGAAAAACGACGCATGTGGAATATCAGCAACGCTGGCTGTGGCCGGGGGTGAAACCGGCTTGAAACTGTCAACCAGAGAGGGCAGCAGAAAACTGCTTTTCAGCCCCGCTGTTATGTTACTATTTAAACATGTTAGGTTTTCCATATTGTCAGTCTGTGTTGTTTAATATCTTATTAAGAATTGCAGCTTAAAGGTGCTTAATACGAGATTGAGAGCATTACGATTGCCTCTCAACGGCTCTCAACATGGCAACAGCTGAGCCAGTGGCTCACAGCTAAAGGCGCTAACAATGCAAACAAGGGTGAAAGTGCTGACAGAGCTAACGGTGTTTACCTGAGGGGGGAACCAGTGGGTTGGTGCCACGCTTCCGCCATGACGCCGTCGGTCGGGACGTTGCTATCAGCTGCAACTGCCGAGAGCAGTGCAGAGCACGGCCGGCCCAGCTATGGCAACAGAGCAATGACAAGCTTGGATTACCACACACACAGCAACTTTATTCTCTGCCCGGGTAGATATTGATTCACTGTATCTTTGCATGGCAAATAGTTATTTGCTGCTTTATTAATGCTCTGAATCTCGTATATTGCAACTTTACTTCCCTTTTGTTTGGACTATCAACGTTTCTGTAACTAGCTTCATTTATTTATTCTTCAGGTACTGATGCCCTTTATTTCTCTGTAAAGTAGGCTAATTGGCAGAAAGCGAGTCTTTCTGGTCAAAAATAATAACTACTCAATAAATGAATCCGGCCATCCAGAACCGCCTTCCAATTTCTGTTTGTGGTGTTTTTAGTGTGAATTTTTCCATAAATATACAAAAACGATGTCATTCATGTGAGGTTTAGCCTTTTAATGTAAATAACAAATGTTTAACAGTCACCTTTCAGGTGACTGTTAAACATTTCTATTAAACTGACTGACATGACTGTTAAACATGTTCAAGGGGTTTCGGGTGGGAAACTCCTTTAAATCGACTTCAAACCTTAAACCTGGGGAAATTATGTACATAAATGCATCTTCAACCTAATTAAAAACATTTGTATTGTCAATTCATGTCATCATTACAATATATAATTGGTACTAACTGCAGCATATGGATGTGAATTGCACTATGTACTGCAGGTGCTCATACTGTAAGTACATATTTATAGGAGGTCAGTTAATATCTTCATGTACAAATGTATAAAAGAACATATAAATGACAATTCTTTAAAAAAAGGAATACAGGAGTCAGACTTCATAATCATAAAAGGCCTCTATAGAAGGTCTGCAGCATAACATGAGCAATTAAAGGGTTAAGCTTTAGTTACAACTAGCAAATACCAGTAGTACTTGTCATATCCCATCAGTCCATGTAGTTTATTAACTGAGATGTTTGGTTTATTTGAGATTCCAGATCTTTTATTTCCCTTTTTGTTTCCTGGTAGTGTATTCCTGAGTGAAAGGAGTTGTCAGGAGATTGTAAGGAGGCCTAAAGGTTGCAATAAGATTGAATCTATGTTACTACTCCCTGCTTCCTCTCTCATTAGTGACTGAGAATCTTTCCCCACCGTGAGTGAGGAAGTGTGAAAAGTATAAAGTGAACTAGAAAATGTTGCAAGAAATTTTGACAGTGTGGCTGCTACTGCCCAAAGATGTCGCAATATATATATACGCCAATGTTACCAGTAGTATCATTGATGTTCAATTTAGATATCGCTTCTCTCATTTCTGCATTTCAGATTCATACTCTTGGATGGAATCTTGTATTCGTGATGGACACTCTTGAATTTGAGAGCAGCTATTGCTTCATAGAAACACATAGTTGACAGCACGTGCCTGTGTGTCACTGTTTACCATGATGATTGGGGCACATGACATACCTTTGGAAATGATGGGAGCTATTGTGTGTTGGCTCCTTTTTCTTCTCTTCCCTCATCTGTTTTTGTTGTCGTGTGGTGTCTTAATGTTGATTGGTGATTTTGTGATCATTGTTTTGTCACGTGTTGATGTTGTTTTGGTGGCAATTACTGTCGTGGTTTGGTCTTGTTACCGTCTATCGTGGTGGGTGTGGCCATGCAGAAGAGGACAGGAGTGGCAGCAGGAAGCCTCCCGGCCAATGGAGAGAGTCAGATTTAGACATCGCCATAAACCGAGGGCAAGCCACAGTCCGGACTGAGACAAATTGAATTGTTTCTTCTCGTCTTCCTACCTGGTGTGAGAAGGTAAATTGTGGCTGGTTCCCCTTGTTTCCACCATTTACGCTAAGTTAAGCTAACATCAGGTGGCCGAAGCTTCATATGATAGGAGATCGGTGTCAATCTTCTCTCCCGCCTACGCTTGGCAAGCGAATAACTGTATTACCCAAAATGTGGAACCATTCCTCGTGGGAACCACTGTGGACCTGAAGATGGAGAATTCACAGCCCTCTGGCTCCTTCAAGATCCGTGGCATCGGACACCTCTGCCAGCAGGTAGGAGCCCTCCACCCTCTACTTTACTTCACCTCCATCATATCAGACACGGACTATCTGATGTGCCATTTGAATGAAAGGCCCCCGTTGACTGATTGTGGTGTAGATCTTACCTTTCAGCCACATACAAAAGACACTAACTTCCCCTTTTTTTTAAATTCATCTCTCTCTTCTGCAGCTCGCCAGGCAGTCCAAAGGAGTTGTCTGCTCTTCAGTTGACACAGCACCTTCATATGCACACTACAGTATCAGTTGGTGACCGTGTTGGACTATAATACAACATAATATGGTCTTTTTGAAGGTGGTAACACAGGTATGGCTGCAGCCTACATAGCCAGAAAAATGGGTGTACCGGCCACCATCGTAGTTCCCTCCTCGTCTCCTCAGCTGGTCGTTCAGACACTCCAGGATCAGGGTGCTACTGTCAAGATTACAGGCAGGGTAAAGTATAATATGAATCATATGTAAGAGCTGTCTTTTTGGCACAGACATCAGTCTTTAGAATAAAAAGAAAGACTGTTAAGAGGAGGAAATGAAGTGAAATCTTTTTAGGTTTGGGATGATGCCAATGCAGAGGCTCTCAGACTGCAAGAGACTGAAGGACTCACCTACGTTCCTCCGTTAGATCACCCGTTGCTCTGGTAGAAAAACACTCATCACAATTTCCCCACAATGCGACTGTAAAACTCTTGCAATAATAAATGACTCTCTCCTCACACGACACACACACACACACACACACACAGGCAGGGCCATGCCAGCGTGATCGCCCGGGTGGCGACCTCCCTGGGCCCCGGCGTGAAGCCTGGAGCTGTGCTGGTGTCCATGGGCGGAGGAGGGCTCCTCTGTGGGGTCGTCCGGGGCCTGAAGGACGCGGGCTGGACGGATGTGCCCATCGTCGCAATGGAAACGGCGGGGGCCGACTGTTTCAACGCTGCGGTCAAGGCGGGGAGGTTGGTCACCCTGGATGACATCACCAGGTGAGAGGTCGAGGGTGTTAAGTTTTATCGAATGCAACCGGAACTTGACTTCCTCCTCCTGTGCTTCACAGTGAGGCCAAATGTCTCGGAGCAAAGACGGTTTGCAAGAAAGCTTTTGAATATAGCCGATGCAGCGAGCTCACCATCATCTCTGAACTTGTGACGGAACTCTGCTTGAACGTGCGTTTTCATTTTCTTTTGGCCGGTAAAGACTTGAATGAACAGCCCGAATATCATCTAAGAAAGTGAATTATTCTTTAATTATTTTCATTTTAATTTATACCTCTGGTGTCGTCTTGTAGGCGAGGAGCGCGTGTTGGTGGAGATGGCGTGCGGAGCGGCACTAGCAGCCGTCTACAGCGGACTCGCACGCAGATTACAGGATGAAGGTAACTACTCTGCAGCCGTCAGCACCCTTAAAAGGATACTCGCCTCCGTGTGCTGAACCTCCTTGTTAGCGCTGCTCTATTTACAACTCTTCCATTTGTTGATGCAGCGGTGACATTGTGTTTGAGACAGGAAATCAGACGCCTTCCAGCCGAGTGATCTGTTTGACAATTCATTGCAAACGTGTCTCGTGGCAGCCCTTAATGCTGTTTGTTTTCTCGTAGTTCTTCTTATACATTTGTGCATTAAAAAGCAGATCTTTTCAGACTACTGCCATATCCACAGAATATGTTGAAAAACAGTAATCACGATTAAACTTACTGTATATAGTAAGTAATTCCTTTCTGATGAGGGGAAACTTCTGGAGAAGATGATCAGTTTTGTTGCACTACTTTTTAGGTCGGCTGCCGGCTCTCTTGGGCCCCCTGCTGGTGATCGTGTGCGGTGGCAGCAGCATCGACATGGAGCAGCTGACCCTCCTCAAACACAAACTGCAGGCTTAAAGTACTGTGTGTGTGTGTGTGTGTGTGTGTGTGTGTGTGTGTGTGTGTGTGTGACTGGCTAATGTTGGGCTACAAAGATAGAATCAGTTCAGTGACTGATGTGTGGATGGATGACTGGAATGAAGATATAAATCAATAATTATAAAAAAAGAGAAAAAAACAACTACAGATATGTATCATCTCATTTAAAAGCAAATGTGTCATTTGCAATATTGGTAATTAAGATATTTGTGCTTCTCCTAATATTGTGGTGTCATTTTTAAGTCACATAAAATATGAAAATGCAATGAGATTTCTTAGAAAAATAACATTTCTTGAGTTATAAATCAATGAACCGTCAGAATTCAATGACTACATCTCCCCACATGGTGGTGTCACTGCCAGTCTGAAGCATTACTAAATATTACACTACACCCAAATATTTGTACATTCTAGTCTTCTTTTGGTCTTTTTGTAAATACATTTGCGGCCTCGGAATGATTTCCATATTTGAAATGAAAGCACCTATAGCGCTGAATTGTTTTGTGTCATTTTCACCATCACCTGACATGTTTCAGCTCAGTCAGTTTGTGTTGTATGTCGGAAGTTATTACTACTGAAACAGCTCCTCACTGTTGTGTGTGTGTGTGTGTGTGTGTGTGTGTGTGTGTGTGTG